CTTTTACTTCTTTTGTTAGATTAACTCCTAAATATTTTATGTTTTTGGATGCTATTGTGTAGGGTATGGTTTCCTTAATTTCTCCCTCAGTGTGTTCATTGTCTGTGTATAGGAATGCTACAGATTTTTGAGAGTTGACTTTGTACCCAGCTATATTACTGCATTTGCTTATTTAAATTTACAAGTCTTTCTGTGGAATTTTTGGGGTCTTCTATGTAGAGTATCATGTCATCTGTGAATAATGATAATTTCACATCTTCCTGTTCTATCCTTATTCCTTTTATTTCTCTTGTTATTTGCTCTGGATAATATTTCCAGGACTGTATTGAATAGGAGTGGTGACAGTGGACATCTCTGTCTTGTTCCTGATTTTAAAGTGAAAGATTTCAATTTTTGTCCATTTAGTATCATGTTTGCTATTGGTTTGTCATAGATGGCTTTTATCAGATTTAGATAAAGACCACCTACCACAATTTTCTGTAACTTTTTTTTTATCATGAATGAGTAAATATCTTCTTGGACTTGGTCGAATGCTTTCTCTGCATCTATTGAGATGATCATGTGATTTTTGTCTTTGATTCTGTTGATATGGTGTATTACCTTAATTGATTTGGGCATATTGTACTACCCCTGCATTCCTGGGTGAATCTCACTTGGTCATGGTGTATAACCTTTTTGATGTTTTGATGAATTCTGTTTGGTAGTATTTTATGGAGGATTTTTGCATCTATGTTCATTAGGGAGATTGGCCCATAGTTCTCCTTTTTGGTTGGGTCTTTCTCTTGTTTTGGTATGGGGTAATACTTGCCTCCAGGAATGAGTTAGGGAGAATTCTTTGCCTTTCAATTTCATTAAAGAGTTTGAGAAGAATTGGTGTTAAATGTTCTCTAAATTTCTTATAGAATTCAGCTGTGCAGTAATCAGGACCTGGGCTTTTCTTTGTTTGTAAGTTTTTTTTTTTATTACATTTACAGTTTTGTTGATTGATATTGTGATATTCAGGATTTTATATCTTCTTGATTCAGCTTTAGTAATTAATATGTGTGTAGGAATCAGTCCATTTCTTCTGTATTTTCAACCCTATAATAGTGTAAGTTTTTAAAGTAGGTATTGATGATCTTTTGAATTTCTATAGGATATATAGCTATTTAACCCTTTTCATTCCTTATTGCATGAATTTGAGTTTTTCTTATCTGTTTTTGATAAGGTTGCCTTGGGGTATATAAATTTTATTTAGTCTTTCAAAGAACCAACTCTGATTCATTTATTCTTTGTTTTGTTTTCTTAGTCTCCACTGTGTTAAATTCTGCTCTGATGTGTATAATTTCCTCCCTTCTTTGGGATTTGGGCTTGACTTGTACTTCTTTTTCTAGAAACTTGAGGTGGAGCAAAAATTGTTGATCTGTGCTGGTCCTGTGTTCCTGATGTGGGAATTCTCCACTGTATATTACCCTCAAAGCTCTCCTTTTCTTGCATCCCACAGATTCTGGTAAGTTGTATCTACATTTTTGTTCGATTGTAAATATTGTTTAATTTCATCTGTGACCCATTGGTTGTCCAGGAGGGTTTTATTTAATTTCTACGTTTTCACAGAGTTTTTGCAATTTCTTTTGTCCATAATTTCCAATTTCACTGCACTATGATCTGATAATATGCATGGGATAATCTCAATTCCTTTGCATTCAGTTAAGCATGGTCTATGGGCTAGTATATGGTCTATTTTAGAAAACATCCTATATGCACCTCAGAAAAATGTGTATTCTGATTTTGCCGGGTGGAACATTCTGTGAAGGTCTACTAAGTCTATTTGTTGACAAGTTTGGCACAGTTCGGTTACTTCTTTGCTGATTTATTGTCTAGTTGATCTTTCTCCTTATAACAATGGGGTGTTACATTCCCCTATTATATTCTTTCATTGCTTATTTGATTTTTCATGCTCATTAAAATTTGTCTTGTATAGTTGGGTGCTCCTGTACTTGGTGCATATATATTTATGACTATTATGTCTTCATCTTGCAGTTTTGCCCTAACACGTATGTAGTGACTTTCTTTATCTGTTTTGATCATTCTTGGTTTGAAGTTTACATTGTCTGCAAACAGAATAGCTACACTTGCTTTTTTTCTGGTCTCTGTCAGATGGAGTATTATTTTTCAACCTTTGACTTTCAGTCTGTGAATTTCCTTTTGAGT